CCATCAGATGATGAGTAGATTGAAAAACAGTGGTACATCTACACAATGGAATACTATGCTATTGTAAAAAAAGAAGGAACTTTTACCATTTGCAACAGCATGGATGTACCTGGAGAGCATTATGCTAAGTGAAATAAGCCAGTTGGAGAAAGATAAATATCACATGATCTCACTCATTTGTAGAATATAATGAACAACATAAACTGATGAACAAAAATAGACCCAGAGACAGAGAAGCATTGAACAGACCATCAAATCTCAGAGGCAGGGGAGGGTTGGGAGGGAGGTGTAAGAAATCAACCAAAGGACTTGTATGCATGCATGCATATTGCATAACAAATAGACACAGACACTGGGGTGGTGGGGACTGGTACTGGGGGGTGGGAGTGGCCAGGGAGGGGTTGCTGGGGAGAAAAAGGGATATATGTAATACTTTAAACAATAAAAAAACAAAAAACAAAAATAATAACATCAATAAAAATATTTCCAATATGAAATAATCTCACTTTTTGTTGGTTTTTAAAGGTCCTCTTGGGTAAAAAAAAAACCTTGTAACATTCAAACATAAGACACAAGACAGAATCTAATCAGAGAATAAAATAGGGAAAAAAGATTTCATAGTACTATTAACTTTTTGAATACAAGCTGCTGAAAGACTTGATCAATCACTTGGGAAAATTCTGGCTCCTACCCTTATTCAGCTGGTTAGTTTTATTTGTTCTTCTCTATGTAACCCTCTCTACGAATAGACGACTTCTAACTTTAAGCTGGAACTCAGAAGTTATGACTTGTACAAAAAGTCAAGTAGCTTTCTAATCCCAGGAACAAGGAAAGTTCCTGGTATTTCCTCTGAGGTGCATATAACGAAGTACATGTCCATTCACACGTTCTGATCAGCACGGAGGGGGCAAGAGGAGAAATTCATGAGCAGCAGGAAAATAGGATAAGGTCAGATCTATCAGAATTTCAACTATATGCACTGCCCCGCCCCCCCCTCAGGACTAAGAAATGGACTGTTCTGAAGCCGAAAAGTTCATATTCAAGCTTTTAAGGGAAATGATCCCTACTGTTTTCTATCCTAGGTTCTCTGAAACTTTCCTTCCTCACAAGTTCACTTCCTAGCTAACCCCAACAAAGATCAGACAGTGGCAAAAGGCAGCTCCAACTAAAATTTTAAAGAAGAATTTTACCCTCAAGCATCTATTCTGCTCTAACTCCACCCTGGTTCTCTGGTAAGTCTAGTGCTTTCATACTACCTTGGCTGGTTCCAGGTATTTCATGACTTCTCCCATCCTACCCTCTTCAGTGTAATATACTTACTAACTGTAGCCCTACCCATAGCAGCTGCATCTCTTTACTAAATAAATACATATATTCTAGTTAATCTTCAAATTAGTCTTCAAACTGAACCTGGAGATGTAAGTCAGTAGTTCCCAAACATGTTCATGTGCCACACATTTCAAAGTGAAAATCCTCTTTGTAAAGCACTTATGCAGTAATATTTATTTTTTATTCCTTTTAAAAGGCCCTCTGGGGTGAAAAAGCCTTGTAACATTCAAACATGAGAGACAAAACAGAATTTAATCAAAGAATAAAATAGGGAATAAATAAATCATAAAAATTTAGAATTTTACTAACAGAAAATGACTTTAGTATTAAATATTTATATGCACTGAACATAAGAACAAATGTTCACTGAAAAAATTATTAAAAGGTCAGTGGTTCCTGAATTCTTCCAGTAACATTCATTTGTTACTGTTCATCATTAACAGGCAACAATGAAGGAAACATAAAAAAAAATAAATTCAAAATTTAGGAAATTTTATTCAAACTTTTTTCTCTTAAAATTAGAAAAACTGGAAGATCTTGGAAATAGGAGTATCAGAACCACTCCTGTGGCCAATCAATACCTCTAAATTAAGTCTATTTTTAAAAATTGATTGATCTAATCAACAAAAATTAAGTAAAATTCCTGAAGATTTTCAGGTGGCACAGGAGTAGATCCACCCCTCCCCGACCCCGCAGGAAGATCTTTCCTGAACACTGCTAGGGAAAGAG